AGAGCAGAATTAGGAAGGGGCAGGAGACTGGAGCTGTGAAATAGTTGCCAAATGTGTTCAGGCATTAAGAAAGGTGACCAATAAGCTTCCTTGCTTCTGCAGTCTTATGGACTGGGTCTCTGAGGGAGCTGCACAAGGTCTCTGCAAGTTTTAAAGGGCACTTTCCCCCCCCAAGCCATTCATCACTCTCTTTCTATTCATGGCAACTGAACACAGTTCTGCACATCCCAGGCTGATGCAGAACAGGGAGCAGGGGGTCACACCTGGACCGGACCCCTGATTCTGGTTCCTGAAGACTGGATGCTCTAAAGGCCTTGGATAGCACTTCACTCACCATGCAGGGGTGAGAGGGAGTGGGGGGAGCAGTATGGGATGCCTGGAGGACTGACCAGATACTAATCAGAAAAAGTTTGGTGTCTGCATGTAACACTGGACTGTTACATAGAGGACCAGTTCAAAACAATACCTGATTATCCAGTTATACTTTTAAAACATTCCAGGAGATTTAAACTGTTCTAAACTGACTTGCACTTCTGTCCACTTCCATTTTAAACCGATCTAAGTGTTGTGCATGTCCATGCCCTCACTTCCCTTCTCTGTGGCCCTGTCCCTGCTCCTTTGGTTCATTTCCCTTATTTAAAATATAAACTCTCACAAGCAAGGACTTCTCCTGTCTCCTGTTACAGGGCCCAGAAAAATGGGACTATGATCTCCACTGGGGTGTCTAGGTGCTACAACAGAATACCAGCCCAAGAAGGCTCTCACATGTGAGAAGGTGACAGTGGTTTACCTATCTGGCAAAAAGGGACAAGAGGCAAACAGGTTGGGTTTACATTAAAAAAAAAAGACAGATAAAATCTTTTTATTTCAGTTTTTGTTCTCTTTCCTCCCCAGTGCCAGAATAATATATTTAGCATGTGTTATTTTGGTGTGTTTACCCGTGATATCACAACAATCATACAAACACCTCCTCACTCGTATATCCGTGTCAGACACATAGCTGCAATCCTATCCCACCCTGCTAAAGTCCCTGAAAAACTGTTAATGGGTCAATGTTGGTAACTTGCTTTATCCTAGCTTTAAGACTATGCAACAGCGACAAAAAATGGTAAGAAGGAGAATGACCCACAGAGATTCTGCATTAGACCAAGGAAACATGTTCTAATCCCTCAATCAAAGAGTTTTTAAATTTAATTGTTTCAGGTAATTCCAACTGCTGGTGAGTTACAAGAGGAGAGACGTGGGCCTCTATGCAGGACCAAGAGGATTTAAGACTGTAAAGAGAAAATGGACTGATATTTGTAAGTAGAAATTCTGCAGACTATATATATTACAGTCTATGTAGGTTCTAATATTCTCCTTACTAAAACATGGCCCTCATAGCCAGGAGAGGAGGGTAACAGCACTTAACACACCTTAAAAATATTCTAGCCCTGGCTATAGCACTATGTAGAGATTATATATGTATTTGTTCAGGCACAAATCAGTTTCCCTCCCATTATTTGGGCAGGACGAACAGAGTTTGCTGTCTTATTTTGACCTGCCCTTGGTACCACAAGATGCCAGCACACTTACGTTCAGAATGTCGGCATGAGGCTGAAGAACTTGACAGTTTCTGTGGTGACATCATAGCCTCCAGGAGGGGAAACCAGAGAGCCTAGAATACATAAGCACAAATATGTAAAAACATTTAAAACTAAATTTGTAATATTAGCTTCAGCCTTCGGAGGTCAAAACTGTGGCTGCTTCCACATGATGACAAACCACAATTAAACACTTTGCTTCCACCCTTTCACAAGTACAGTGAGTCAGAGCTGTGCCAGGATTGCTGTGCTTTTACATTTGCATTATAACAGAGTGGAACTGCTCTGTTACTTGACAGCCTAGGTCACTCACGTCTAAGAGCAGGGGTGACATCTGCTTGGAAGGATGGAAGAAGCCTGACTGTGCCCTTAAGCTCGATCACCTCCCAGGCTCAAAACAGCGTAGGGACGAACTCGACTTGCTGACCTGGTTTATTCCTCATTAAGGTTGTAAGGTATTTGATTTTTACAGAAGAGTGAGCACAGACTTCACCTGAGCTAGGGCCCATCAAGTTCCACTCTAGTATAAATACATACATACAGAATAGAGAGAAGCAGTTAGCTGAGCTAGTCTGAAGTAAGGCAGAAAGCAGCACAGTCTACCCTTACAGACTGACTGACTAAGAAATCTCATGCCTCTCTGAACAAGTTAGCCTATAAGATGCCTCCCTGTCTTGCCTTCTATCTATATACACACACACGGCTTTGATGGCTACACACACACACACACACACACACACACACACACGACAACTAGGGTAAGGAGTCCATGTAACCAAAGCCATCATAGGGGTTGCTAGGTAAAAGCTGGGTAAATCCAGAAGTGAACTCTTCCTATGGTAAGAAATATTAACTGTAACTACATGGGGAGCAAGGAAACAGGGGTAACAAGATCAGAGTTCAAGAGCCAATATTATTCCAGTCTTACTTGCTCCATACCAGACATGAAGCAATGCAAGTATTGCATCTACAGCTGCAGGACAACAGATGGTCACTAACACAAGAGATATTACAATTCACAGCCTGTTTCTTTCCTTGGTGGGTTATTACAGGCCTTTGATCAAAAGAACTAATCCCCATTCCTATTCAATCCACAGGGTTTGCAAGGGAGTCTCGGTCATTTTCTGACATGTCCAAATAAATGAGTTCTTTGAACATTCAACTGAAAATTGCAATGATTTGACAGAAAGACCAATACATACAGTGACCACTGCTAAAGGCAGCATTTGTTGCTAGTTACCACAGATTTCTCCTAAACAGTGATTAAATAGTAGCAGCTTGAAAATGCTGGCTTGTAAATGAACTCTCCTGCAGGAGGATTGGAGATGGTATGCTTGCACTCCTTATTGAAAAACACCATTGTAAGAAAAAAAATAAAAACATGCTATTGAACTGATACTACCTGGGAGAACTGCATGTAGGCCCGATATAATCAGTCTGTCCATAATGAAATCTGCCCAGATCATGCACACTATGCAGATCTTCTGGAATCTCATTCTCACAAGAAGGAAGTACTTTCCCTGTCCCTCCAGACCAAGATGAACAGCACTAAATTCCATGGATCTCAGATGTTAGGAATCTCACATTCCTACTTGCACAAGGAGGATGGGAACACTAGGGTTGAGCCCAAGCCCAGCTCTTAGACATGTTAGGGATACACATCAAATGGAACCCTGGTCTGAAAGGGAGTAGAGAGATAGCACTTCAGGAAGATCCTCAATGCACATTTTTCTGAAGGTATTAAGGAAAATGGCCTTTTTATTGCTTATGTCTTGATGTAGACTCTTCCTATGCCAGAAGCAAAAGGTGCTGTCTCAGCACAGGCAAGGCAAGATGCAGAAATTCTCTAGTCCAGGTTCAAGGTTAGAAGCCAATTGCATACTTTGACATGATTAAATGAGAATCTGTAAATAAAGTAAAGCTTTCTTTGACTCTCTTTCTTTAACAGAGGCTTCTTCAGTATCTCACCTCTATCTATTGCAATCACAGTTATGCCACTGCTTGTGCTACAGCAAAGACTGATCTTGCCCTGGACATGGCCTTTCATACTTTCTGCAGTGAAGCAACAGAGCTCAGTGTGCTCCAGGCAAAATATCCCCTGTCCAGGAACATGACTGTCAAAAATTCTCATATGCACCGTGACAGCAGCAATGTTTCCTTGTACAAGGCAAAGAAGAGGCCTTTCTTCTAGCTGCTGGCTAAAATCCCAGCTTCTAGCAGTATGCATTGGTCATTGTGCACAGACATGTCCGGAATACAGAGGAATATATGCAAGGTTCTGCACACTGTATTCCTACAGTTATAGGATTTTACCCAATCACAGGTGCATACAAGACAACTTAACAGAAGACTGGTTTAATGGAGGCGGAATTCTCTCCTGAATCTGCATAGCACTGGAAACTCTGGTAATACAGCATTTTATCCCTTTACCTCTCGCTGCTGCTGGTTTAAATTATGTGAATTCCTCTGGCAAAGTGCAATTGTTTTCAGTAAGGTAGCTTCAATATCCTTTATTGAATGGGACTGTGTTGAATCTAGGTTAAAAAGCAAAACAGAAATGGAGATTACATCATTGATCCCAGATAATTTAAACATGCTACTACTGCCAAATCATTTTGAAAAAAATAAGAATTATGCTGTTCACCTAAAACTTACTCCCTGTAGATAGCAGTAGCTACATTATGAAAACAGATCTCAACTCTTTTTGTTGATTTTGCTGTACAGCAAAATGAACTGTGCTTGCAACACATTTTGTACGACTGCATAAGTAATTTCTGAGCTTTGGCTTACATTTGCCTTGACACCAGTTAAAAGCATCATGTTCTATTTGATGCCACTGAGTGCTGGAGCTGGAGAGCAGCAGTGCAGTAGGAGATATAATAACATTTCCTGCAGGCATGGAAGACCTGCTTCCTTCGGGTAATTTGCCTGGTTTTTGTTAATGGGGGAAGCTGACAAAGTGCTGCCAGCTGTAATATTGTTGTTTACTGTAAAAACCAAGATCTCTCTTGCTTTTGTTGCAGCTGTTTTCCCCCATAAGCAGCATGTACACAGGGAGCTACAAAAACTAGCTGGTTTCAGAAAACACTAACTGCTATATCAGACCTCTAGCCTGCTCCTAAACCCTTGCAAGTGAATTGCTGGTTTGTTCCTGAACCAGTAGGGTTTATAACTCTTGTAACATTTGTTCTATCCAGCACAGTCATGGATACAGTCATCCACATATAACTGTTTTTTTTCTTTTAAGTTTTTAAAATTCCAATAAGCTCTTAACTTCAATTATATCTTGTGGCAAATGAGCTGTTAATTATGCATTGCATAACACCATTTAAAAAGTAAAACTTAAGTATGTTCACAATGCTGAATGTCCCAGCTAGTTTCATCTCACTACCCCTAATGATGAGAAAATATGAATACATCAAAACACTCAAGCTGCGACATGGCTAGTTTGTCTCATTCAATCTTAACTTAGAATTCCCACAAGCCATATTTTCACATTCAGCCTTGCAAAGGGCTGAGGGATTTCCTGGCAGACTGTGCCTCCAGGATTATAACCATGCAAGAAGGCCATGTGTTATATCTCAACCAAGAAAATCCACAATTTGCATGATGGAAAACCCACATCAAGATGTGGAGGATTTCTTTGTCCTTTTTTCTGTCACTACTGCCAGATGTTTCTCATTTTTCATAAAGCTTCTGTATTAGAATCACAGGATACATTTCTGATATGTCATTGCAATGCTATCATGACTACCAGAGAGTAAAAAGCAGTTAACTGAACTTTGAAAGAGAGAATTGCAGGGGATTGTCAAGGTAACATCTGGGAAGAGCTGGGTGATAAAAAGTCCATTAGAATCATTACCATTAATGTTACAAATACATAATAAAAGGTATTACCGCAGCACCCAGGAATTCTCACTGTAATGAAGAAATCCCACTGTAATGAGCAATGTACAAATACACACATTTCAATTTCTATGGCTTTGTTTCACAGAACATTCTTTTCAAAGGGGAAAAAACGCGGGGAAAAGAATTCACTGCAAAAAAAAAAAAAAAATCAACACACATGAAACAAAGACTTACTTTCATCTTCCTGTGTAAGCACCATCAGCTTGCTTTGCAGTTGCTAAAACAAATCAAAATAGAGCTTCTTAGAGCAGGAAAGCTCTCAGGGTATCAATGGGAACACGTTTATACACAGAGGTCTTTCCCCGCCAACCCCATTTCCCTGCCTGATGGAGAGACTGTAGCAGTGCACAGATTTTTCCTTAGAGATGTAAGAGAAAGATAATCAAGACAAGGCACATATATTCTTCTTAGGCAAATTTAAGCTTCTACCTATAAGAGTTAAGCAGAACATCCAGCCAAAATATACCAACGGAGAGACGTCTGGCAAGAGAGTCTGAAACACAGCACTCTGATAGAAGCTAAATGTTTCAATTCAACTCAGTAGGGGAAAAAAAAAAAAAGAAAAAAGACA